TTTTCTTGTAGTTTTATTTATGTATTATGTTCTGCCCTCACTCCTGTGGTCCTGAGACCCTTTCCTTGTGGCTGTACCTGTGTGTTGTGTGCAGTGGTTTCCTATGTAGCGTCCCTAACACAATTTTGTCACCACCATCTGCTGGTCCTCATGGAAGCCATTCCCATAAACTGCTTAGTAATCCTTGCCAAAATGCTTACACAGCAAAACGTGGGCTGAAGTGTGTTCATTGAAGTATTTTGTTCCCTAATAGTTCCTTTTCTTTTCCTTCAATTTGTGAACCTGGGCTTGAATTACTGCATCAGTTTCTGGCAACCTCAATGAAGAGGAAAAATTATTCAGAGAACACATGAAGAAGGATACCTGGTGCTCCATGTTTGGAGATGTGGCCATATCCCACGGCGGTAGAAACCGGCGTCAAAACCAGGGGAGACATTCCAGGTAAATGTTATCCATGCAGGCGAAAGCGGTGTCCCCGAAGGCAGATCTAAGGTGCCGTGACGTTAGCATGCACTCATGCATGTTCCTCTGGATGGCAGGGCTTTGCTCATATGGGTTCAACCATTGTCTGTGTTGATGCAGTTAGCACACGATGTGGCCCAATCATCAGATCTCCTCCCCGAGTGGTTCTGACCTCAGTAGGAAGCCTCCGTGCAGCGGTGCACTGTGTCTGGCTGACTGCATCTCTCTCCAGAGGGCTGCCTCGGGCTCCTGACACTGGACAGCAACACCCATCGAATGTGGCCGCGTATTGTGGGTCCACGGTCAGCAGATACCTAACGGGTACAAAGTGGGGATCCACACAGATACCTATATAAGTATGTGTGTGAGGGGTCCTGGCATTGAGCTATAAGATTGGTACATCAGACCCACAAGCCGCTCCACGGAAATCCTATACTGGATTGCTTTGAGTCAACCAGCTCGCAGGCATTCAACAACAGCCTATATTGTTGTCAAGTCAATTCTGACTCATCACCACCCTGCGTAGGGTTTCCAAGAAG